AGAGCCAGGATTGAGTATATCTGTAACAAGCTGGGCATGATTGACATCTATGCTCCAGCTTGAGGGGGAGTGTTAGAGGAATAAGGGTTGTTAGAGAGAGTTGCTCTTAGTCTTACATTTCTGTTTTGAATTATGTGGCCTAGTAGTATTTAGCCTATGTATAAATAGGTTCTATCTTGTACAGTTTTCACAGTGAGATATATACACAGTTTCATAGTTCAACACTTAACATATACTATCTATGTATGATACTTAATGCGTATTGATGGGTTACCAGCATTATTCGCTGACCGAGCGTCGTCCCATTTATTTATGTGCTTTTCAGGTCCTGAGTAGTCGGCGAGCGCGTTAGAGATGGCTAGTTTAATTTCTCAGACAGTTTTTAGTTGTGTTTTGGGCCTGTGTGCCCCTTATGTTGAACAATACGTTAGATTATTCTTGATGGTTTTGCCTGTGCGTTCACAATGGTGTGAGCGTGGCATAGCACTCCCTTTTTCTGGCTTTATATATATAGACTTCCGCTGTGTTTTGCTTATGTTTGTGGTTAGATAATCTTGCATATTTAAGTTTAATATGGCATGAAAATCGGGGGTGTTACACGAAGGGTGAGGCTATAAGGAGATTCCACAATTATGTTTTCACACAGTTTGGTATACTCATCAAGACAATACGAAGTGACAATGGGCAAGAGTTTAGCATGGCAGAGTTCTTTGCTGAAAAAAGGATAGTCTATCAAAAATCGTGTGTAGATACACCGCAACAGAATGCGGTGGTGGAGTGCAAGCATCAACACGTTCTTAATGTTGCTAGGGCTCTTCAATTTCAAGCTCACCTTCCATTTGAATTTTGGGGGAAATGTGTTTTGCATGTTGTCTTTATAATCAATCGTTTTCCATCACCTATGCTTGAATGGTTTAACCCCTATTATTGCAGATTATATGGAAGGGATCCCAATCTTAATGCTCTCAAGGTTTTTAGGTGTCTTTGCTATGCTTCCACCCTATCTCAGTCAAGGAACAAAATGGCACCACGCAGTAGAGGATGCCTTTTCGTTGGAATACCAGCTAATGTTAAAGGTTACCTGTTATATAACTTAGATGATAACTCCACTTTTATATCACGAGATGTGACTTTCTATGAAATACATTCCTTTTGCTGAGAAAGATCATTGTGGAGCTGAAACAATGTCACAACAGTTCAATCCTCCAATCCTTTGCCTGCTATACTGGTCACCACGCCCATACATTATGAAATACATAATCATGTTAGTGGTCAGCCTTATGTTTGTGAAGAGATTAACTGTATGTTTATTAATGTAAAGCACAACCTATATATAGTACATGGAGGAGTGAAGATAGCAGGAAGTTACAATCAAATACAACTAGTCTATAGGAGCACAAATATAATAAACAACTAAAGATATACTAGCCACATATTGGCTTAATACGCCCCCGCAAGATGGAGGATCCGTCGGAGACCCCAATCTTGGACCGAAGCTGAAGAAAGAGGCGACGACCCAGTGACTTAGTAAGAAGATCGGCTAGTTGAGCTGAAGACGAAACGTGCCGCACAACTAGCGTACCATTGGCAACCAAATCCCGGACAAAGTAGTAATCCAAGGCGAGATGCTTCATGCGGGAATGAAACACGGGATTCTTGAAAACGTACGTGGCGCTCAAGTTGTCACAAAACAGGACCGGAGGCTCAACCAGCCCCAATTTCAACTCTTGCAATAGATTTTTTACCCAAAGGACCTCAGCTGCTGCATTCGCCAGGGCCCGATACTCCGCCTCCGTGGACGATCGCGAGACAGACTTCTGACGCGTAGACTTCCAAGAGATTAGATTATCGCCTAGGTACACCAGATATGCGGTAGTGGAACGACCCTCAGTGGACGGTCCACCCCAATCTGAATCAGTGTATACCCGCAACGAAAGGGGCTGACCTGCACGTAGCAACAAACCATGACAAGTGGTTCCTTTTAGATACCGCAAGAGGCGTTTGGCGGCTTGCCAGTGTAACTCCGAGGGTGCATGCATGAACTGCGAAAGTCTGTTGACAGCAAACGCCACATCCGGACGTGTAATCACCAAGTACTGCATAAGACCAAGCAAGCGACGAAACTGAGTGGCATCAGTCGCAACATCGGACGGTCGCAGCGGTACCAACTGCTCTAAAGCAGCCAGCGGTGTTGAAACATCCTTTGCACCATCCATCTTGAACTGCATCAGTATGCCAGTAATATACTGACTTTGAGACAGAAAAATTCCACCACCAGTAGGAATGACCTCCACGCTCAGGAAATGATGTAAAGTACTAAGATCTTTAAGGGCAAATTGTGCTGACAGGGACCCCACAAAATGATCAAGCCAGGTAGAGTTATTACCTGTCAACAAAATGTCATCGACATATACTAAAAAGTAGACAATTACACCTTTGGCGGAATAAATAAAAAGCGAAGCATCAGCTTGTGACTTAATAAACCCAGACCGCTGCAGGAACAAAGAGAGTTCCTGGTACCAGGCTCGCGGGGCCTGTTTAAGGCCATACAGAGCCTTCGTTAATTTGCAGATATGGGATGGATACAGCGGATCAACGTAACCGGGCGGTTGGTCCATGTAGACTTCCTCATGTAAAGTCCCGTGCAAAAACGCGTTGTTGATGTCCAATTGGCGCAAACCCCAGTTGTTACTCAACGCAATAGTCAGAACCAACCTGATGGTGACCGGTTTCATAACCGGGCTATAGGTCTCAAAGTAATCCCGGCCAGCAGTCTGTAAGAAGCCTTTGGCCACAAGGCGTGCCTTGTACCGATCAACTGAGCCATCCGGTTTACGCTTTACACTGTAAACCCATTTACAACCAATGGGAACCCCAACACCGCGAGGAACCAGGCACCACGTTTTGTTACGTTGGAGTGCATCAAACTCTTCGTCCATAGCTTTCCTCCACCGAGCATCCTTCAAGGCCTGAGCGACGGTAGATGGTTATAAAGTAGGAGGTAAGGGATGCGCTGTGGTGTGGTTGATAACATAGTCAAAATACCTGGGGTTAGGACGACGTGGTCTAGTGGAGCGACGCAACCCATCCTGTGACTGAGAGGCATCGGACGACGACTGTTCAGGCTGACTGGGTGGTTGATCAGTTGTAGTAACAGTGGGTGACGAACGACGGCTGGTTTGGTCATTCTCTGAGATAGTGGGAGACGGTGTTGGAACTGGCGTTGGAACGGGTGTTGGAACTGGAGTCGGAACTGGAGTTGGAACTAGTGTTGGAACGGGAGTTGGAACTGGAGTCGGAACTGGAGTTGGAACGGGTGTTGGAACTGGTGTTGGAACTGGTGTTGGAACTGGAGTTGGAACACCCACGGGCTGTACCTGTGTAGACAAAGTAGACGACTTGCACAAGATACGTCGTGATTCAGAATCATGAGAATCAGAAGGTAAGCTATTAGATGACTTTTGCAAATCGTTATAAGGAAACACATAAGGCACAAATCTAACATGTCTAGATACATAAATGTGATTCGAACTGTAATCTAGACATTTATAACCGGATTGGGTGGTTGAATAGCCAAGGAAAATACATGGACGTGACCTCGGTTGTAGTTTCTTGGTGTTATAGGGACGCAACCAGGGAAAGCATAGGCAACCAAAAGGTTGTAACTTATCATAGTTGGGTTTTTGTTTGAACAAAACTTGATAAGAAGATTGATTACCTAATACCGGAGTTGGAAGTCGATTGATGAGATAGACGATAGCCTGAAACGCGTGAGACCAGAATGAAGAAGGCAACGAAGCAGCGTGAAGGAGTGACATTCCATTCTCAACGACATGCCTGTGTCTCCGTTCAGCCATGCCATTATGCTCAGGTGTATGTGGAGGAGTCAAAAAATGCGAAATGCCATGAGCATTGAACATCAAAATTAATTTAATAAACTTCCCCCCATTGTCAGAATAAATTGACAGACCAAAAAACTTCTCCACTAACCTTTTAAACTGGGGAAGAATCAAAGAAACATCAGACTTTCGTTTTATAGGATATAACCAGACATACCTAGAGAAGTGATCTACAAATATAACATAATAAGCAAAGTCATCAATAGATTTTTCCGTCGGACCCCATACATCAGTGTAGAGCAGTTGTAGAGGCCTAGTGCTAACAAGTGTGCTTTGGAAAAAAGGTAATTTATGACTTTTGTATACATTGCATGATTGGCAGGAAAACTTGTTTAGTGCTGACATAGATATGGGAACGTTGCAATGTTGCAACACACGATGCAACACCTTATTAGACGGATGGCCTAGACAATGGTGCCACTGGGAAACGCGAGACAGCTGCATGGAATTGGATGTAGGTTGACGCAGGAGAGGTGCATAATAGACACCATTAATGTTCGCCCCCCGTAGTAACGACATCCCCGTTCGAAGATCCTTCACAAGAAAGTGGGAATCAAAGAATTCCACCGACACTTGATTAGTTTTGCACAATTGCGATATGGATATTAAATTATTATGCAACTGTGGAACACGTAGGACATTTTGGAGAGTGAGCACGGAAGAAGGAGTGAGAATAGATAACTGACCAATGTGAGAGATGTTTAAAGAATTACCGTCGCCCAGTCGTATCCCATCAGGTCCATTATACTCGGTGAAAGTGTGCAGAGGAGACATATCCGGTGTGGCATGGTGAGACGCCCCGCTGTCAAACATCCACGGCGTAGTCGCTCCCACAGTAGAATTAGTTGCAGGTGACTGAGACTGAGGAAATGTAGAAGCCTGCACGGGAAACAAATTATGGGTCTTTAAGAACCGGGCTAACTTACGGCAAACACGAGTTTCATGGCCAACAAGGTGACAGAATTGACACACAACACCAGGTCGAGTGTTGCTGTTGTGCGACCAATTCGGTCTATTATTGCCATACGTGTTGTTGGCGTTGTTGCGGGACCTTCGATCGACAGTGGAGTGCTGACTATTGCGAGAAGCCGAAGGACCACGCTAGGAGGCATTGGCAGTAGCCAAAAGAGATTGGCGAGCATCATCAACTTCAGCCAACTGAAGCTCATGATCTGTGAGTGCATCGGCTAATTCTCCCAAAGAAATGGGTTTGTCACGGACACGAACGGAAGACACGATGGAGCTGTACTGGTCCCCTAGTTGTGTTAAAATGTACACAACCATGTCTTCATAAAAAATAGGGCATTGAGCCAGGGCGAGGTCGTCAGCTATTGAGCGCATGTCATTCAAAAAAGCGGTGACTGACCGATTACCCTTCGGATTTCTAGTAAGCTTGGCCTTGAGGGAAATGATCCGTCCTCGGGAGGCGCTAGCATAGTTAGCAACGAGCCGTTGCCAGGCATCACACGCAGTGGGTGCGGAAGCTATAAGAGGTTGTATGGTGTCTGAACAGCTCCCAAGTAAAGCACTGGTAATTATCTGATCTTGGCGATACCAAGTCAAATGTGCTGGATTCGGAGTTGTTTGTGCAGTATCATTGAATTTTGCTGGTTCTTTGATAGAACCATCGATGTATCCCAGGAGATTAAAGCCAACCAAGGTAGACTGAACTTGGCGTCTCCAGACAGAAAAGTTGAGGGGGGTGAGTTTGATAGGAAAATTAGACAGAGCATTGAGGTGAACAATGTCAATGGTGGTGGTAGCCATGTATATAAGACTGGCAAAAGAGGAGAGGAAAAAAAAAAACTCCTTAGGGGAATATGGCTTTTGATACCATGTGAAGAGATTAACTGTATGTTTATTGATGTAAAGCACAACCTATATATAGTACATGGAGGAGTGAAGATAGCAAGAAGTTACAACCAAATACAACTAGTCTATAGGAGCACAAATATAATAAATAACAACTAAAGATATACTAGCCACATATTAGCTTAATAATGTTGACCACTAACATGATGTCTTTATAATCAATCGTCTTCCATCACCTATGCTTGAATGGTTTAACCCCTATTATTGCAGATTATATGGAAGGGATCCAGATCTTAATGCTCTCAAGGTTTTTAGGTGTCTTTGCTATGCTTCCACCCTATCTCAGTCAAGGAACAAAATGGCACCACGCAGTAGAGGATGCCTTTTCGTTGGAATACCAGCTAATGTTAAAGGTTACCTGTTATATGACTTAGATGATAACTCCACTTTTATATCACGAGATGTGACTTTCTATGAAATACATTCCTTTTGCTGAGAAAGATCATTGTGGAGCTGAAACAATGTCACAGCAGTTCGATCCTCCGATCCTTTGCCTGTCATACTGGTCACCACGCCCATACATTATAAAATGCATAATCATGTTAGTGGTCAGCCTTATGTTGAGCATAATTTTGAGCTGCATGATTCTGTTGATAACCATGCCGATGGGCTTTCTGATGGTGTTTGTGATCATGTTCTGTCATAGTCTGCTCGTGATGGTGCTCACAGTATTACACAGGATAAACACAAGTTTATGACCCGGCCCCTCTGTTCATGATATTCAACCTCGGCGAACAACCAGACATTGCAGGGCTCCCAGCAAGCTACAGGATTACTACTGTGACATACAGTTATGAGAAATGTATCCTCACCTCATTCTTTATTCAAAGTGATTTCGTATGAGAACCTTGTGCCATCACACAGAGCTTTCTCCATGGTTGTGATGGCTAATTGGCTATTAACGGACCACAGATATATAACCAGGCTATTAAACATGATTGTTGGAAGAAAGTCATGGACGCTTAGAACACTGCAGTTCAAGATAACAATACTTGGGAGTTGACTGACTTACATCCTGGAAAAACACCCATAGGATGCAAGTGGGTTTATAAAGTCAAGCTTAGAGCATATGGCACTGTTGAAAGGCACAAGGCGAGGTTAGTGGCGAAGGGTTACACGTAGCAATTAGGGGTCGACAGTGGAATGCAAAATTGAGTACTGCACTTCTTCGTTTTGGTTTTAAACCGTCTAAGTCCGATCCATCATTATTTACCGGAAGGAGTGATGAAAATTTCATTGCCCTCCTAATATACGTTGATAATATCTTGGTAGTAAGTGGACAAATAAGTCTTATCACATAACTAAAAGCATTCGTTGATGATATTTTCAAAATTAAGGGTCTAGGATCCGTAGGATACTTCTTGGGCATAGAGGCTAAACTGGACGTGTCTGGCTTGAACCTGTGCCAACGCAAATACACTCTGGATATCTTGAATGAGACTGGTTTTCTCAACTGCAAACCAATGGCTACACCAATGGTGCCAGGTTCTCGATTAATGCATGGTGATGGTATACCTCTTGAAGATGCCAGTAGCTATAGAAGGATGGTGGAGAAACTATTATAGCTAATAGCGAAGGCCGGACATTGCTTATGTTGTTCAACAGCTTTACCACCTTTTTCAGCTAAGTCAATGCTATCCTCCAATATTTTGCTACTCTTGGGCAGAAGCTCTGGTGCTTGGAATTAATTCGACGTCGTAAGGTGGAATATAATACTTAAATGTATAAAAAAAAATGATAAGAACGACAAATTTTTAAGTTGAGCTATATATAATAACTAGTAATTCACCCGCGCGATACGGGGAAAAAATTATGTTATTATAAATATAAATAAAAAATAGAAAAAATAAAAATATTTTAAATTGTTTAATATAATAATATTTTTGAGCTTCCATTGGTAAAGTATTTATTATTTTTATAGAATACAAAATTATAATTAAAATTTTGTATGGTTAATATAATCTCTAATCTTAACTATAATAAAGCTTTATGGTTTGGGAAGTAATTAATGTTACAATTAATGCCACAACATCCTTTATTAAAAAAAAAAAAAAAAAAAAAAAAAAAAAAAAAAAAACACAACATTTGAAATATAAAATAGCTATATATTATATAATCATATAAAAAATATACTTTTGAAAAATAAAATAGCTATATATTATATATATAATCATATAAAAAGTGTGTTTAATTAGAGTTTAAATTTACTCATACAAAATTTGAAATTTGCTTTTCAAATGTAATTATCTTAGTTATTATTCCTATTGTGAAAATTATAATATAGATGAAATACAATTAAGAATAAACCAATGTAATTATGTAAATTCTCTCTATAAATTTATTTGAATATGCACATAATTAGAGATTATATTAATCATACAAAATTTTAATTTTAATTGTAATTTTGTATTCTATAAAAATAATAAATACTTGACCAATGGAAGCTCAAAAATATTATTATATTAAACAATTTAAAATATTTTAGTTTTTCTATTTTTTATTTATATTTATAATAACATAATTTTTTTCCGTGCATCGCGCGGGTGAATTACTAGTTATGTATATATTCAAATAAACTTATAGAGAGAATTTACATAATTACATTGATTTATTCTTAATTGTATTTCATCTATATTATAATTTTCACACCAGGACTATGTGGTCTAATGGTATCCGGGTTGGACTTCCAATTGGAAGATTATGAGTTCAAGCCTTAGTGGAGGCGGTTCAAGCCTTAGTGGAGGCGTTATTGGTTCTTTGTGTTTCAGTAGGTTGAGAAAGTATATGAACAGATACTACAATGTAATAGAGCTAGTAACTTTCAAAAAAAAAAAAATATTATAATTTTCACAATACGAATAATAACTAAGATAATTACATTTAGAAAGCAAATTTCAAATTTTGTATGAGTAAATTTAAATTTTGATTGAACACATTTTTTATATGATTATATAATATATTCTTTATGCACATGGCATTTCATAAACTCAAATGTCATTTTATAAATCCAAGACCACTTTTTGTGGAGATAATTCAAATGTATTTTTTTTCTTTTAAAAGTCCTAAGTTTAGACATCCAGAAAAATATTAAAGACACATACGATATATACATTTATATATATTTAAATTTTTATTTATGGCTTAAATGATTTTTGTTTTTATTCTGAAGTCCAATAATTGACCCACGGCCCGCAACATTTATTTTCTTCATCCCTCCTCGCTTCTGCCGTTTCTTTGAAGCATTTGAGAGGGAGAAAAATTATATGTAGAGGCTTGCATTAATTGCATTGTTTCAGATATCGAATAGGCTTTCATCGAAAATTTTATTAATATTGTAATTCCAAGAACCACCATAAATAACAAAAGCATATCAAATAGACTTTCATGGTAAAATCATAGATTTAATTAATATTGCATCGTTTCATATTTTCTATTAATCGGGAATCGGAATCCTTAATCCTAATATCATAACATTTAATAACTCTATTAATTCAATAAGTGCAATCCTTTGTTATGGGCGAGAAAAAAATAGCTATTTTATTTTTCAAATGTTGTGCTTCTTTTTTTTTTAGTAAAAGATGTTGTGGCTATTTTATATTTATAGTTAGTAATAATAATAATGTTGGTAATTAATTGTAACATTAATTATCTCCCAACCATATAGCTTTATTATATGTAAGATTAAAGAATACATGATTAGTTTAAATACTATCAATAAATTGATATAGTAATTCAACACCAAAGCTGATCAAGTAATAATCTTAAGATGCAAAGGACCTACTGCTATCTCTAAGATGATATTTCCTTTTTTTTTTTAGGAATGATATTTACACTGAGCAAATACCAATTTTTATCACATGAGTATTATCAAAATAACACTTTTCACCAATGATTATTGTAGTAGCAGCAATTTTCATCCATGATTATTATTTTAGTTGCAATTTTCATCCACAACTATTGTTTTAGTGCCAAAATATGAAATTATTAATGGTATTTTTGTCATTTTCAAATTAAGATCCCAATTTGAACATGAATAAAGGAATTTAAGCCCTAGGATCGATTTCAATTCACAGTTTTCCTCCTCAAATTAAGGTAGAATGAGGAGGAGAACATCAAATTGAGATTGATCTTAGAGCTTAAATCCATTTATTCATGCTCAAATTGGAAACTTAAGTTAAAAAGAATGAAAATACCCTTAAAATTTTTAGATTTTGACATGCCTTAAAAGGATGGATAATTGGCGTGATAAATTTTAGCACTAAAACAATAGTTATGAATGAAAATTGGTACTAAAACAATAATCATGGATAAAAATAGATAGGAATTAAACATGTGGATCAAAACTGTCATTTTGCTAATACTCGTAGGTCAAAATTGATATTTGCTCTATTTACATTTATACATACAAAAATTATTCACTATTAGATCACTAAGTTTCTAGAAGAACATTTATCATTGTAGTAGAATCCTTGTTAAGAATTTTATTTCCTAGAATTCCTTTAACAAATTAAAATGCTCCATTAATTATATATATATATATATATATATATATATATATATATATATATATATATATATTAAAGCTCCATTTCCTCTATCTTGACTTTATCTTCTAATTATATAGGAAATAAGAGAAACATCCTCAAATAGTGACAGAAGAATGCACATTCTTCGATAGTGATTAACAATTTTTCTTGTCATTCAAAAAGTAATTAAAGAAAAAAAGATTCCCATCTCTTAAATAAGAAAAGACTACATCTATGTATAATATAAAAGCTCAATTCATTTTTTTCCTAAGACTTTTTCCGATCAAATATTTGTACTTTGTGCAGTAATGGTTGTTCCTTGAAAATTATTTCTCTATTTTGCCCTTGTTAGCTTCCCGTCGTTCAACT